AGCAAGCGCGCGCCCGCGCCGCAGCGAGCGCCGCCCGCCTCGTCGGCGCCGCCGGGGCACTGCGCCACGCCGTCGCACCTGCACGGAGCCGCGGTCAGTGGCCGGCCTCGAGGCCGCTGCCGCTGCCGCTGGCGGAGGCGCGCTCACCAGAGACCGGCGTCCATGCAGGCGCCCAGCGTCGCGCAGGGGAACTCGCAGGCGGCGGTGGCGTTGTGCGGCTGCGGCGGCTGCTGCGGCTGCTGCGCGCGCCAGACCTCCATCCACACGAAGCGCGCGCTGCCCGCCTCGCGGCCCGCCCACACCAGCAGCAGCGCCGCGCTGGCGCCGCCCGCGCGCCAGTTGCCGCTGAACACCTGCACGCTGCGCGCGCGCTCCTCTTCGCCGCTGTCCGCGCTCGGGCAGATGGCCTTCACCAGCCTGCGAACAGACACGCGCTTGGCCTGCGGAGCCTCGTCCCCCGCGCCCTCGGCGCCCGCGGCGCAACAGTTACCGTGACGTGTGCGCGTCGTAGATTAGCACACGGTTTGCGGTGTGGCAGGGCGGCGGGTCGGGGGGCGCGTCGGCAGCGGGCGTAGGTGCCGCCGGCACCTCGTCGCCCCACACGCGCAGCCACACGGAGCGGTTGCCGTGGGCCGCCAGCAAGAACGGCGTCTCGCCGCAGGCGGAGACGCGATCGTTACTGCGCACAGGTGAGCGGTCAGTCTCCGACGTGTCGGTCGCGACGGTGCGAGTGCTACAGTCGACTCACTCGTAAGGGAAGGCGAGGCGCACGCTGGCGCCGGGCGGCGGCAGGCGGCGCTGCGCCGCGCAGCGCGACGAGCCGCCGCGCGCCCACGAGCCGCGAAACTGCAGATGCCGATGGTCCTCGCGCGCCGCCAGCCGCCCCGCCGCCAGCTCCAGCTCCACCGCGCCCGCGCCGCCCAGCCGCAGAGGCGCGCTGCTGTTGTCGCACAGACACGCCAGCGGCACCTGCGCGCGACGCGTGGCCGTTAGCGTCAGCCGAGCCGACTCGATGCCCCTCCGTCGACACTCACCCTGTAGCCGGGCCACGGCGACTCGTAAACCCACAGGTGCGGCACGGTTGCCGGGTCGTCTTCGTCCTCGAATTCGACGTTCGGTTCGAGAGCAGCGGACGCGCGCGACCCCGCGGAATCGGGCGGGGAGGGCGAGCACGCGAGTCGCCCGGTGCGAGGGTCGGATCGGGTGGCGCAGCGAGGGTCGCGGCCGAAGGCGGCCGCCGTCAACGCGAGTTCCAGGTGCGATCCTTCCGCCTGCAGGCGGTAGACGCAGCGCAGGCGACGAGCGCCGCCGCGCCCGAACCACAGCGCGTTGCGAGGCGACGCGAACTCGCCCGGCGAAAGCAGCAGGCGCGAGCACGCGGCCGGCTCCGCCCGCGGCGCGGCGCCGCCCCACGCCTCGCCCTCCAGCCGCGCGTCCACGAACTCGTAGTGCAGCGCGAACGCCAAAGGATGCGTCGCCGTGCCCGGCAGCGTGGTGGCCGCGAGCGATAACAGAGCCGTCGATGACACGTACCTACAGGTAGTAGGAAGGACGGTGTTTTCGAAAGAGGTCGAGTTTTCAATGCGCGTCGACCAATGCCCTATCGCCTTAGCAGCTCACCCGTCGGGAGGCGAACAGGGTCGAGGTACGCGCGTAGCGTTCGCCAGAGCGGCTCGGGCGCAAAGCGCAGGCGCGGAGTCGCAGTACTGGCCGACGAGTCGCGCGGCTCCGGCGCCTCCGCCGTCCCAAATGCGCAGCTCGACGGCGCACGGCCCAGCGCCGGCCGCGCCCGGCTGCCTCGCCGTCGGCGCAGGTCGCGCGAGCGGCGTCGCGGCTGAAGTGGCCGCTGCGGTGTCCTCTTCCCGTTCCGCGCTGTCCGTTCGTCGCGACTCGACCAGCGAATACTGAGTGAAGCTCGAGAAATAGATCCACACGAGGTCACCTACGAGGAGACACGGAATATTGTAGGTCAAAGAAACAGGCTACTAACGACCAAAGTAACGAGTGACACTCGCCTGGGCGGCCGTGGAATGTCCACGCACAAGTAGTGTTGGGTGGCAAAGTATGCGCGGGCGCGCGCAGCAATCCGCGCCGCCCGCGTCCCGCGCCCAGCGTCCCCGCGACGACGCCCAGCGCGCCTGCCGCCGTCACGTTGCTCTCTTCCTCCGCCGAAGACGCTTTCACGTGGAACTCGCAGCGCCGCGCCTCTCTGCGTGCGCATCCCGGTGGTTACGTCGTCGGTCAGTCGATTGAGCTTCGTCACGTTCGGCCCCTGAACCGACCACTCACCTCGCGTAGTCGAGCGAGTCGGAATCGGCGAAGATTACATCGACGTCTAGCTCGAAACCTCGCAGTGGGGCCGCCGGCTGCGCGGGCCGCAACGGCGCCGAGAACGGCGACGAGTGAAACGCTACGAGCATCTCCGGGCCGCGGGACGTGACGCGCGGCAGCCAGTCGCCGCCGCAGTACTCCACCAGCACGGGGTCATCCGTCGACGCGCCGTCGTACACGATCAACCTATCCCGCTCTCCAGTACACTCTCTCCACGCGCGAACTGCGCGACCGGTCTTGTTCATGCTGTTCAAAACGCATTGATTTTAATTCTTATTGCCGAAACATAAGCCGACCGGCAAGTACAATAAGTCAAACATGTATATTCACATCCTGGCGGCGGTAGACGAGAAGGAAATAGACAGTCCTTAGTGGGTAAACTGAAATTGAAGGGAATATAATAAAGAAGGAATTTCGACAGGTTATGACAATACTCAACTCACCTGGCTACAGCGATAGATCGTTTAATCTGCATCTTATGAGAATACTCCTGGCGCACAGAAATCATAGCATGCTTGCACGTCGGGATGTCTTTCTGCCGCAGGCTCCAATAGCATGTCACATTTCTATGAAAATAATACAAACGTGGTCACGTGTAACACTTTATACTTTGTTAGCACTCAATAATCGGTAAAATGTAAAGGCGTCTGGGGTATATACCTGGGGTACATGCCAGGGTAGTTGGGGCTCTGCAACTTGCACGGCTTGCGGTGACACTCTTCGTACGTGCGCGTGCAGTACGTGCCCGGTGACACCGCGCCGCGCTCCAACGGCGCTTCCAACGCGCCAAACCTGACCACGACGACGCTCATTCACGCATTTACTTAATTTTTTCACGTATATTATAATTTATGAAACTTTGCTTTTCTTTCGGCTGGATTCGAGAAGCTTTTGCACGGTTACTACACGATTCACGAATCAATTTCTATTTGGCCACACGTTACGAAACGATGCCCTCGCATCTAAGTTTTTCTGCATGTGTCCTCATACAATAACGGTAGGACCTTACTTACCGACCGAACAGAAAAATACGAGTTGTTTTTGTTCAGTGCTCTAAGAAAATAATCATATCGGAAAGCTCGAGATCAACGCAAACGCACCTGACGACGGCGTCGCGCTGAGCGAGGAACTTGTAACGTAACCGGAACCCGAAAGGCTCGCCGAGTCGCGCGCGGAAAAGCTTTATCGAGACTGTAACGGTGGACGTCTCGCTGTAGTAGAGCGCGGCGCCTTCGGCGGAGCCGCACCACGAGCCGCCCGTAAAGGGCCGGCCCAGTTCCGACAGCTGCATGTAGCCATCGGGACAGCCGTCCAGCGCGCCGACTTCGTAGCGACCCACGCGGAACTCCTCGAAGGCCAACTGCACCAGGTCGCCGTGCGCGCCTCCGCCCGCCGTGAACGTCAGGTGGCACAGGAAGGGCACGCGCGGCGCCTCGCGCACGCCCAGCGAGTACGCCACGCCCACGCGCCCGTAGTACGTGCGGTTGCACACGGTGCAGCCCGCCGGCTCGTCGCTGCCGTCGGCGCAGTCCGCGCTGCCGTCGCAGAAGGCGTCCAGCCGCACGCAGCCCCCGCTGCGGCACGCCCACTCGGCCACGCCGCAGCCGCCCGCCGCGCGCGCCGCGCTCGCCGCCGCCGCCAGCAGCGCCAGCGCCAGCGCCGCGCCGCCCATGCTGCTCAGCACCGGCGACACTCGCTGCTCACGCGGCCCTCACCGGCATCGCGTCTGCCGACGGGCTGGCTGCGGGCTGCACCTGGCCGCGCTCTTTTCGTCTCCGACTAACATTTTCGTTCCCTCTGCTCGTGGACAACGTCTCGTCGGGCGAGCGACGCCAGCGGCACCTGCGGGGGTCGCGCTGTCAATGTACACACAATTTGAAGACGCGAACGAGCGTCGGGAGCACTCCAGCTGATTCGAAAGCGCCTCGCTGAGCCAAGTCGTGACACCCACCCGCCGTTACCTACGTTCTAAGGATCCCATAGTCCCATTACGACCCTTATGTCCACTCGCACCGACTGAGTACGTCTTAAACCAATGCCTAAATTTATAAGCTCTTGTCTTTTGCATTACAAGCGTTGGTTTTAGACGTACTTAAGTTTATTGCACGGGGACAGTAATATCTTCTGCCTGTCACGTATCGTGACCCTACAATTTCTAATACATAGCAGTATAGTGGCGCGGTTTACGAGCAAAATCAACCCTAAGTCTCGTAACCTGGTCTCATAAATTTTTATGAGACCAAGTTATAAATAATAGGTTAAAATATACATATGTTATACACATAGTTTCCTTCGCTGTGGAACCCTATTAAGTATTTTTGACCGGTAACTTAGTATTAATTACTGACGTGGCAGAATACTTCAGAGCGGCGACCAGAGGAAATGGTGCGTCCGAGCAAGAGCACGGGGCGGCGGGAGACTAATAAGAAATAGTTTATGTGATTACCGAACTGGTGAGTGGCACTGTAACTGTTATGTACTTATTCGTCCCGTCACTTGATGTTACAAAAAAGAAACCACTGGGGGTGCATGAAAGGAGCCTCCTCGCACGACGTACCATTCCATTCCTGTACGCCTGGCACATCCTGGGCAACATCGGCGAGTACCTTATGCCGATCGGCAAGTCCTTTCATCACGATGGCTTGTAATGCTTTCTAGTACGCCATACGATAAGAGGAAGATACGACATGCTTTTTTCGAAATTTGTACGTATACGCTAGATGAATAAGTGTAAGGTTCTCTTCACCTTGCAGAAATATTAGTTGGCGTTTTCAAAGTTACTTTTCCACACAATAGAAGAGACAGGTACGACGCGCGAAGGTGGCGACCGAGCGAGGGATCGGGCGAACACGTGCGCGAACCCTATTCAGTCGTGGAATTGTTAAACCTAAAAGGTATCCTAGTGTCCACACTTCGGTCGGAGGTTTACTTCGGTCCACAAGCATATCCTTCCATGGGAACATCTCCGGTATCGTATCTAATGCACATAATATAAATAACTTTCAATATGCAAATGTTTAACAAGCCCGGGTCAATATCTGCTATCAATATCTGGTGTTTCATTTTTGAATGTGATCAGTGTACGCGGGACCTCGAGTCGGGCGGCGGCGGCGGCGGCCTGCGCGGCGCTTGCGAATCAGCGAGCAGGCCCGTTCTTCGCGCTCAGGCCGCACTTACGAAGGAGCACTTCACTGACGAGGCGCCGAGGGCGACGCCCGCCGGCGGCGGCGGCACTGCGTCCGCATGCTGCACTCGCGCGGGCACTTCACTCTCCGTAGACGCCGCGAGGCTAAGAAACACGCGCGCGTGACGTAACGCCGCGGCACACTGCAGCGGCGCCGCCCGCAGCTCCAGTCGCGCGCATGCGCCTCCTCGCACCCCGCCCCGCGCCCCGCGCCCCGCGCCTCTCGGCTCGCGGCTGCAGTGCTCTGCTCCGGCGATCGCGGGCTCTGTCGCTCGTCACCTGCAGCCCTGGACGCTCTCCAGCCCCGAGTCCCGTCCGCCTCTTTGATTTACATCATCGGCGAGAACTGTCCCGAGCAATCTTTCAAAAACTGTATTGTGGAATTCACAAAGTATAGCATAGGTACTCGTTCTTGTCGGTTACCAGATCTTCGAAAGGGATCCTCAATCGCGTGGTCCTTATTTCAGCTGGTGTCTGTACTCATATAACAACACACACCGTTGACCGATTTTAACAAATGAGGTGTCGGTAAACTTACACCGGGGACTGTTCTCCCGTTGCGATCTGCGTTTTATAATCCAACGTCATCAACGTATTACTATTTTTTCTGCGACATATAAATATATTAGCCTCAGATCAATCGACTGTACTTTTGAATATTTATAGAGCGATAAATCATTGTTGTCAGAGCAATAAATACCCTTTACTGAGAACGGTTGACTCTACATTTTCACGTATAACTTTCCCGCACCGTTAAATCACTCTTCATTATACGAGTACAAATTAAACGACATATCTCGTAATCTGGTCGTTTGAGCCTCAAGTTAAGTGTAATTGATTTTCTTACTCCCAGAGTAATCTTGAAGATACATGCGCGTTCAATATTTCACACCTTTTTTGCTCTAAAAAATAAATCCATGTACGCATTGACACAAGATACCTTGTTGAGCCGTCCTTGTTGACCTTTTGGTTCTGAGCACATAAATATAGAGAAAAGTGTTAAACATACCTAATCTTTAGCCTGTATAACATTGTAAGAAAATTTTAAGCCAATTTGATTAACTAAATTTTTATTGAATTGATATTCAATTATTTTTTGTGAAATTACTCCACTAGTTTGTTATAATTATTAATACAAAGATCGAACACTCAGAAAAAATTCCTTCGATCCGGTCGGATTCGAATCGACGTCTTCTTGCATACCGTGCCAATTTGATTAACGTTAAACGTAGAGTTTTTACTTAAATGCAGAATACAAATTTCAGCCTGCAATAACAGTAAGGCCGTCGTGGTCTAATGGTTAAAGAATTCCTTTGCAAGTTCAAGCGGAGTACTGTTGGGTAATTTCAATCTTTTTAAGACCCATAATTACGTGATACTTTAATTTGATGTATCTCTTTTGGTTTATCAGCGTAAGACAATAACACCAATAAAAAAAAAATCCCAACTCCCACTACATTTTTTCACAAAGCATGGCCTAATAAATCAATTCCTGATTTATTAGGCTATGCGTTCGCGTCTTGTTCTTGCTACACAAACTATCTTGATTATAATGTTGATAAATAAAGAATCCTTGTTGATCTTAAAAATGGTATTTACTTCGTTTACTTGATTATGAAATACAATACGCGGCAATATTATGACAATGCCTTGATTGCAAATGTGTAGAAATTATAACTAAACATAAAAACATAAAAATGTTGACGCGGTAACATACTTAATGTGCGGTATTAACCGTACACTATGCTTTGTGTTGTCCTGTGACGTTGCAGCTGAGTCTCACAGACAGCAGTAATGGTCTAAATTATATTTGAAAATAAATCCACTCCTCCCGTGTAAAGGCTACCTCCGTGACATTGGCGGAATTGTGATAGACACAGAACTAGCCACTAATAAACAAAGAAGAAGAAGAGGAAATTTACCCGGAAAAATATTTATTAAGCTGAAAAATGTGAGTTTCTCAAAGTGGAAATTTTTCATGACCCAAGACTAGGTTCGAGAGACATAAAAAATAAAATATTATTTAGTTATGACAATATATAATATCGTTTTTTTTTCCCTTTAGATAAGTGTAAGGAATGTCTTAAGTATGTTGATCCTCAATGTGAACCATTACCCATAAACATTAAATGAACGAAATTAAAGTTAACTTCGTGGGAAATTCAACAAATACTTTTTTATTTTTCTAATTTATAATTAATAACAACTTAAAAAATAACAACTAAAAACGTATAAGTAATGTATAAGTATACATAAAAACTTAAAAATTGTGATTTTTCTAAGTAAACATTTTAAAGTGAAACATTAATTCATTTCGAGTTCTTAGGTTTTCGCGATTGTTACACATAGGAAATGAAACTATTTTTCCGGATTTAAGTCTAAGTTTAAGTTTAATTAATACAGTGAATAGCGACATCTCTCGCCAGGACTGGTAGCTGTATAGGTACTAACTGGGTGATAAATCTGTCATAGATTTCTCATAGATGGCGCTACGACTAAAAAGTCGTTGAAAGACCAAGTACAAAAGATACGACGCAATCACATAGAAAAAGTTCGTGAGGTCCGTTGGTTCGTTCCGTGGCTTAGTTGGTATAGCGTCTGGCACGGTATGCAAGAAGACGTCGGTTCGAATCCGACCGGATCGAAGGAACTTTTTCTGAGTGTTCGATCTTTGTATTAATAATTATAACAAACTAGTGGAGTAATTTCACAAAAAAATAATTGAATATCAATTCAATTAAAATTTAATTTAAGTTTAAGATTTAAGTCTATTAAGTCACTTATTAATTTTGTTTTTGATGGTACAAACAGCTTGTATCACAATGTAATAGAAACTATATTAAATAATTATAAGTATAGGTACATTCTTATTAAAACAAAAAGTACTCGTGGAATCGAATCACGGGTTAATTATTAACTACAATATATTAAAAGAAACACACCAAGCGGCTCGACTTACACGGATGTTAAGTGACGAAATTTACCATTGGCTTTTAAATATAAGTTTATCATTTTTATGCAACACTCCAACGTAATGTCATACTTTGGCATTAAAGTCGAAATTTCTTAATTTTTTTTTTCTATTTAAGATTGCTCTCGGAATCAAAGGATCGGTTTGGGCATATTATGGGGTTGGGTATCTTGTGTAACAGAGTGAACGAGATTTTTTTAATGTAACGGTTTTATTCCATAACATACTTAAAGCCAATATCAGAGTTACCGGTTATGTAATCGCATGTACATACAAAGGAAGGTCTTTAATTACTTAATAATTTGATACTTAGGTAATTGCTATATTATAAGTTGGTTATTGGGCACAAAATATCTAGATATATTTAATAACTTACAATCATTAGTATTCGTTGTTTAATTATAGCGCAATTATCATCAATAAAATTCCAATCTCTGTATTTGACTTAACTATGTCTCTGGAGTAGCCAGAGAAAACAATAGCTGTATCATCGGCATATGAGAAAACTTGGGCATTT